TCATTATCAGTTGTTGAAAAAGCTAACCTATTTGTAGTTAAGAAATAGTCATTAACGTGTTCTGTTTTTTATTTTGCTTGTGCTTCTTGGCGCTTATTTCATTATTTTGCTTACCAGTGGAGCTTCGGATTCTCTTATTCGCTATTGGCGTGTTGAAAACATTGTTTTGCTTATGATTGAATCTTCAACTGGATTTGGAGTTATGAAGTCAACATTAGGTTTTTCCCAATTCGAAATTAGTTTTGAGGGTGTGATTTGTTGTTGCTGATGATTTGATTGCTGAAGATCTATATAGTTCTTCTGGTGCATTTGTTGTCTTAGCTGCTTCTCTATTTGCTGCTTATGCTGTGGTAGTTTTTGTTGGGTTTGCTGTTGGTTTTGTTTTAGTTTTAGTTTTAGTTCTTGTGATTGTTGTTCGTGTTTTAATTCGTCTCCACCTTTTGGTGGAGATCGATTGATCGGCATTTCGTTAATTTAAAACGATTACTAAAATAGTATTAATATTGTAATTTTCTATTTGGAAATAAAATGTACTATTAAGTACAGTTTGAAGATGACTGATCTTGATATTTTTTAAAGATATTCGAAGTTTACAATGTGGCAACACCACACTTATAAATTTCACTTTCGTTAAAAAGCATACGCTGTCTCTATCAGCTGTTGAATGTATTGGTGTCAAAACACAAATTTGTTTTATTCTTTTTATGACTTTGTTGTGAATTTGAATTTCTTTAATTAAATACTGAGTTATTAATTCACCTATTATTGGTTTCAACCGACACGGATCGCAAAAACTAGTAAGTATATTGATTATTTGATCTTTCTGCACACTCTATTTTTTATATTTCTTTGAATATTAGGTTTTAAAACACAAAATCAGAGCTACCGCAAATAAAAAATTATATTTCATATTATATTTCAAAAAATAATTTGATTCGATGTAGACGTGAAATGTCATCTACGCATATCCTGGTGACCACGGTGATGATGATAGTTTAGGTCTTTTGAAATTCACGCCCTTTGTCTTGTACTTCTCGGATACTGTTGTTGGGAAAAGGTTGGCGATGCCGGTTTGTTCTATGATCATACACTGAGTGATCATACAAGACTCACTACTTTTCTACCAGAATGTGTCATCTTTTATACTGATCAGACGAGCTTTTTGTGTGGTGCACATACAAAGGTTTCTTGTTAAGTACTTTACCGTTGGTTGCGTTTCTTGCTTTCGTACTGTTGTTCAAGTTATGCGCTCAGTAATTTTTACGATCATTTCTCTGTGGTGAATTCTTTTGAGGTTCTTTTGACATTTTCTGTATGTTTGTTTTGATTTCATTTTATCTTTTTTGAAAACGTGTGTTAAAATCGTTGTTTTTTAGAAATTTTATATTTAAATGTTTAAACTTCAATATTGGACAAGTGGACGGTAAATAAGATATGTGTATCAAGTGGGTTAAAACCCAATGATTTATTTATATTTTTAATTTATTCTTTTTCTTATTCTAGGGTATTTGTGAAAAAAATGTGATGGTAAATGTGATTAGTGATGAAGAGTGATTTTTAATGTTTGTTTATGGAGGTTAGAAATTGGCATAAATTTCCAACACTTCACGTGTTAAATATCTCCTAGCTAGTGAGAGAAGGTGCTTGTCTATTTGGGACTTGAGAATGAAGAAATTGAGTTAGTGTTTGTCACAATATCTACGCCGGTAATTGACATGATCACGAAGAACTCTTTCTTCGAAGATTCGGACCAATTTCATCTGATGGGAGCTAATTTCGGACCAGAGGGGAATGCTATTAAGCTGGTTGTGACTATGGAGTTTATTTTTAAGAATTTTATGCCTGAATGTGAATTTCGTTTAGAGCTGGGATAACTCAACCTTGTCCAAGGTCCTCACAAGAAATTTGTTTTATCTTTTTACCCTGTCACTTCCGTTGACACGTGACTGTTAAAGCTACGTGTGTTGTATTACAGGTCGTAGACAACACGCCCTTCCCTGTACACTGTTAAAGCGTCCAGGGGTCGGAGACGTTAGGTTACTGTTAAAAGCCACCTACAGTTTCCGACACAATGGTAGAGATACTCGTAACTGTTAAAGCTACGTGTGTTATACCCCGTGCGACATAGGTTCAATAACTGTTAAAGCCCTGAATCTTGCTCACCTTTTCAACCCTTAGTTCAATCCTTCAACACTATTTGCGACAGCTACCTAATTTGATTCCAAATTTACCTTAAGCACTCGTCGCTTATGAGTATTCACCTGTGTTTGTGGGAGTTAACAGTCAAGCGCGTTTACACACGAAATATTGCCAACAAAACCAACAAAAAAATTATATATAATTTTTTTTATATAATTTTGTTTGAAATTATATAATTTCAAACAATTAGTAAATATGTATTTATTCTTTTCCCTTTGGTATTTACATTAGATTTTTTAAAAAAAACTTAGTTATTCAGAGTATTTTCTTCATGTTTTTTTTTTTTTTAAAATATTTATATATTAACGTTAAATTTCATACAATTTGTAGGTAGTATTCGTTTTCTTTGAAAATCTCATTAGTTCTTGTTTTAATTTAGTTTATTTAAGTATTGATTCTTAATAAATCTTTCAACAATTTTTAAATGATATTTATTTTCTATGACGTTAAATTTTAGTTTTTTTCGTATAATTTAATATATCTTAATACTTGCATTTAAGTAGTTTTTCTTTTAACAATTTACATTTTTCTTTTATATTTTAAACAATTTGTAATGATATTTGTGTTTTTTTATATTCAAAATTTAGATAAAATTTTTACTAGCTTAGTTTGTCCCAGTCAATTACACTTAAATAATTTTTCAAAGATCCAGTAATCAATTGCTGCCGAAATCGATAGTTTTCAAATAAAGCTATGTCACTGAGTAGAACCAAACAACACAAGAGAGCTTCCTCCTAGTGCACGCACTTTTATATCGTCAACGATCAACAGTATCAGCTGTAACTACGTTAGAGTTCAACGACCGTTGATCGAAGCTCGTTAGCTGGTCCCACTGCAAGGCACCAGTGAAAATCCCGCTTTAAGGCGAATTCTATCTTTTATTCATTTGGAAGTTAGGAGTTGTTCTTGACTAAGCTTTGCTTCAGTTCCACACCTTTGAACAAAAGCTTTCTTAGTTTGACAGTTCGTTCTGTTGTTTTGTTTTGATCTTATTTGCTTATGAAACGTGTTGGGTTGGTCGAAAATTTTTAGTCTATAAAATTTTATTTAAATAAATAATGAACCCATGAACCCATTAAATAATACACCACGATAGTCCAAGGTTTGTATAACGTTCTTCTATTAACTCATATTTGTGTATACGTTAGTCAATCACATTTTCCCATTTCTTATCCAGAAAATTTCCAGTGTCGAAGTTTTGTTGCTGCAGTGGTAGCTTTCGGTGAGTTGGTTTACTTAATGTACTTATACGTACTTAACAAATGTTTATTACAGGAACCTTCGATTAAATATATTTAAGTGAGTGTTGTTTTTATCCTCAGTAAACTTTGTTAGGAGGTTTGTCGTGTTTGCTCCGTATCTCACATGTTAGGATATTTATAAATTAATGCAGTATCTGTTTTCGCGGCGTTGTAACAATTAAATTGTAAAAATATTAATCGTTACAACATAACTGACATGAAAGACGAAGTTTTGTTTAAGAGTAGACACAAGCTTGTCAACACGCTGATACGCTCAATGGTGTGGTAGGACCAAACGTATTGGCTATGACAGTGATTTAAGCTGGGTTGAGCTTAATCTTTCACTTTCTGCAGTAGGCAGAGAGGGTCTTAAGGTGGTTGTTAATCTGCATAGAGATTCCACTAGGGAGGTTGGACCTCACTTCGACAGAGTAAAATCTAAGCTCTTGAAAGTTGAACTTCTAAGCTTCTGAATTTTTTATAGCCTAAACTGGAAATAATGTACGTACTTGTTCTAACAATAGAGTTTTTGCCTATACGGTTTTACCTAAGGAAACTATGTTGCGTTCGCTATTAGTTTGATTGGTGACTTCTCTCACAAAATATTAATGATTATACATGATCATTAATATTATTATAAATTCTTGTTTTTAGTTATTATTATAAGTTCGACAGTTTTTATGTTTGAAGAGACATATTTTCCAATTGCGTGTACCTTTTCAGAAGTCATGATTTTTTTAACAGAGGCAGAGAGCGAATTACATTAGTAATACAATCAATAAAACACTATAATAGACAATGTCCGCTTGTGGCCTAGACTATGAAAATGCATGTTGCTCCTATAGCCAATTATGGGTCAATTGTCAAATCTATTTGAATTGGCAAAATACGGATTGACAAAAAATATTATTCACCAAATTACAATATAATAAATTTAAATTCAGAACTATAGATTTAAATATTGTGTATACTTAAGAATTAACCTTTATTTAGTGAAGCGGTTTTAGGATTATATAACGGTAACTATGGCATTATTACTTACTTTCTACTTTAAATTAGATTGTCAGTTAACAATTGCTTTACCATATACGCACGAGTACAGTTATGTCCAGGAAAGCTGTTCGAACCTTGCAGTGCTCTAAAAATAAGTTTTTCTCCATTTCCTCAATTCTTTTGATGTCACATTACAAATTCACTTACTTCAATTATTTATTTTAGTTAAACTATATATTATGTGAAAGTCCAATTTCCGCAATTACTTATTTCTGTAGGGTATGTACGCATAACGGAAATGTATACATATGTAGGACTAGAGACTTGAAGTTCAAACAACTTGGCGAACAATCTGGTCTACAATTATATTATATTATAATATATTCCTTTTATTATGACCCATGTATGTATGTATGTATTTCTAAGTGCGCCTTAATAATTATTAAATCCGTGTTGAAAAATTAGTTAAAACAAACGAAACAGTACAGAAAAACTTTATTATAAATTTGCACTACTTGAACCAAAATATAAAAAAGGAATGCTTATATTTAAATTAAATTAAAAATTATTTAAAAATATTTCATATATACAATTTTTTATAACTAACTAAAATAATTCAAAAGCGTACATTTGACTGAAGTGCAGTCCGGCAGTGAAGTAAATAAGTAGCAGGAAAGTTTGTAGTCATAAATGAATTCACAAGCTGGAAAACTGTAAAAAGAAAAATATTTACTTTTATTTTTGTAAACACACATTTCAAGAAAATCTATACAAATAAAAACATATGTCCACTAACATTTACGTATATATATGTACATGCATATGTTTCGTAGATATCACTTAAAAATATGTTATTGCTCGTGCAATCGTATCTGCATGAGATTTACTTTCCCAATTTGTGCTTGCGTATTGTTTTCTGTTGGTCCAGGATGTTAATAAAGTTTTTTGACAATGACTATGCTAGTTGGAATAGATTATGCTTTACAGCATTGTCACTGTCAAACTGTTTTAAGTGTTTCAGAGGAATCCTCTGATATCTTCTACTTACCTTTTAATCATTTCATTATCCTTAATCTATATTCTAACTTGAAAGACTGGTTTAGTTAATATACTCGTATCAGACGATTCCATACAATTCTGATTGAAACTTGAAATTTGACTGGTTTCGTAAATATAACTCGTATCAGACGATTCCATACAATTCTGATTGAAACTTGAAATTTGGTAAATTTATTTGACAAACACACCTTATTCCAAAAAGTACATTTTCATCAGTCAATTCACTATATACATTCTGATCAAAAAAGAACTTTAATTTTTAATTTTTGAATTCCCGCGTTTATACAATCGGTAAATTTTTTATATTTTCACGCTGGCAACACTATTATACACATTCTGTCAAAGTTTAACGCATATCGTACGATTAGTTTTTGTTTGGCGTCTATACAAAACGGTCTCAAAACTCGTTCCTCGCAATGCCAATTTGAGTTGGGGAAAGAGGAAAAATCACACGGTGCCATATCTGGAGAATACGGTGCTTGGTTGATGATATTGGTGGAGTTTTTGGTCAAAAACTGCTCCTTTTTTGAATGAAATTCAGCTTAATTGCCACCAGCAGAGAAGCGACGCGTTTCAAACCCAAAATATCAGTTAAAATGTGTTCGGCTGATCCATATGAGATGCCCAACAACACTGCAATCTTTCTAATCGGTTCACAACAATTTTCCAACAAGATCTGCTTTGCCGATTCAATGTTTTCTTCAGAAACAGAAGTTGTTGGGTGGCCAGGAATCTCATCATGGTCCAAGCTTGCACGACCTTCTTTGAACCTTTTAAACCATTCGTATACTCGTGGTTGCAACACACACAAATCACAAAAGGCCTTTTTTAACATTTTTTAACAGTTTCGGCACATTCGAATCCATTTGCAACACAAAATTTGATGCGCACACGTTGCTCTAATTTTCGATCCATTATAAAAATCACTACACAAACATTTTTCGACTTTTTGTATAGACGCCAAACAAAAACTAATCGTACGATATGCGTTAAACTTTGACAGAATGTGAATAATAGAGTTGTTAGCGTGAAAAAAAATTACACATGCTTAAATTGTTCATGCTTAAAGCTATGGAAAAAGTAATAGTGAACTATCTAGAAGGTATTACACTACTAAAGAATCATTTAAGCAGATTTCCTCATGCCTAGAGGGCGGGGAGATGTACAGAGTCTGCCTTGCACGAAGTCATGAGGATAGCTGAGAGTGAGGTAACTTCAGGAGGCATATCGATAATCATCATGACAGACATCGTGAGCCTTTGACAAAACAAGCTTCAATAAGTCAAAATCATGGTGAACATGCAGTTCAAAATGAACCGGAACTTCATGTGGAACAATTTCCAAAAAGTAGTGGGCCATCGGAAGTTTATGGCTTTAGCCAGGACGCGGTCAAGGAAACGCGGTCAAGGACATTGAAGATTATAAGAAGAGTCAATTAGCGTGCACTTTATATCTTAAAATATATTTTTTCATCGATCAGGCACAACTAATGACGGTTTCATAGGTTTTGGATCACCTATTGGTTTGCTAGGTGTATCAAGAAAAGATTCTGACAACACTGGACAATTAAGTAGTTACCAAATCCATGCAAAAGACATACGTAGTCTACAACTTAGTACAAGAATCTGTCACGAAGCTCATGGAATGTACTCATAGAATTGTGGTAAAGTCATGTAGGTTGAAGGACGCATCGGTATTTAGCAAAACGAAAAGGTAAATTAACTTACAAGGCAAGTGTTAGACTGCGAAATAAAGCTATAGAATGCGAATCATTAAATTTATTTGAATACGCCTTAAGATTTACATTTTTATTAAGTTAACAAAATTTTATTTAGTTAAAAATAATTAATAATTATTAGTTGGAATTCTTAATTAAAAATGATTGCATCATTTCTTTAAATTTTTATATAAGTATGTATCTTTTTTGTTCAAAATACTTTTTAATTTTTAATTTAATTTTATTTCTTTCAAAAATAATAGTTTAATGTCTATTTTATAATTAGATAATTTTTATATTGAATACAATTTGTACGGCAGATGCGTTAAATCATAGTGTATGCTTGTTGTTTGCTCACCGCTTTAGTACTGACATTATACAACAATGCTTCAAAGAAGTTTAAAATGCGTGCAGGATTTCTAACGAACAATACAAAGATGAAATAAAGGGTTTTCTATAAAATGCGATACATTAAAAAATACGAGACATTAAAACAATTTCAACAGCAAGGATCAAGCTATAACATCTGCGGTTCAGAGCACAGCAGCATAGCATTGAGCTACAAAATGACTGCGGCGTATATAAATAAGTGGATAGCTTCACTTCATCTTAACAGGTAGAGAGAGATGAGCACTTGTGGACAGGCTAAACTCATGATGCCAAAACCGATGTTTAGTGAAGGGATAAAAATGCTTAGTTATCTGCTGATAGCCCTAAGTAGGCTGACCTCATTGATTGCTGGACAGGAAAACGTCAAACATCACTTCAAAAAGACAGCTCTTGTTGAGGAAGATACTTGCATACTATGTCTAGAAAAAAAGGAGATAGCAGTGCATATATTTTGCCAATGTCCAGCATTGGCAAGCAGGACGATGACTGTCTTGGAACACCATTGGGTTGGTGATTACTTGACAGCCAACCTCAAGCTAAAAGAACTGCTTGCACTAACAAGAGATATAGTTATGCGAACGGAAGCCATGTTGACTTTAACTCAATAACGAGAATATCCGAGATATAGAAGCACGGAAAAGAACCTAACGTTTCGTGGCCTACTTTGGGTAATTCTTAACTTCAGTGGAGCCACTTGATGGACGGTGCGCTGTCCCAACGTTCCACAATATATATATGGTTGTTTTATTAAGCAAAGTAAAATGTTAAATTCTTTTCCTTTCTTAAAGAACATCACCTTTTGTAAAAATTAATGAATGGTATAAAACATTTGATAACTGCTTCATATAAAACAGTACAAGAAACTTTCAACTTAAAAAGACAACATCATCAAACTATTTAAATTGACGTCATTTTTTACAGAAACTAAAATGCGAATTCCAGAACTCAATATCTTAAAATGCCTTTAAAAGTAAAAATAAAGAAGGGGACCCACATACAAGATAATACAAGTAATTTCAGATAATAAAAGTATATATATATGTAATAAGGTGGCATCAGTCTGATTTTAAAAATGTATTTATACGTATTGTTTCTGTATTCTCATTTTTGCAGTTAATTGCAATAATTAGTGGTCTGCAGCGTGGTTTTACGAAATTTTGTTGTTTTCGGTATTTATGGGACAGCAGAGATGAACCAAGGGATTATTTCATAAGTTTATCTTGGTCAAAAAGAGAAGATCGCACAATTGGAAGTCGAAATATCACGATTAAAGCTCGATATTAAAGTTAAAGTTTTGCCACCTTTTCATATAAAACTTAGCCTAACGAAAAGTTTCGATAACGGTCTGTAAAAAAAAGAGTTTTCGTACAGATTGTTTCCTTAAAAAAGGTATCTATATTGGACCACAAATCAGAAAACTTCCTTTAAACATGGGCTTCATTTAAGCAAACGGTTATCGAATCTTGAGTTACGAAAGAGATCCACTTAAGTATATAGAAATTCTGTATTCTTTAATTGAAAATTACAAAGTTATTGGGGCAACTATGTGTATAAGACTGTATTTCTTGCACTCGAGTTGTGTGAATATTTCAGTTTGGAAAATGCAGCTCTCATCTTTGGAAATTTTTGGTTGGAAATTAGTATTATTTATTATTTTAAAGCAGAACCTAAAGAGTAAAACAGAAATGGCCAACTTTGATAGAATGCTTAAACGTGAATAAAGTACTTTCTTTCTGAAACCAGTTGTTCTGGTTTCGGATGGGTCTGGAACTTTAACAATAATTTCCAGAAATCATAGTCAGTTTTATCACAGAAGTTTTTGTGTATTTTTCTGGTTATATTTGTAGCATAAGCAGTAATTTTGATCAGCTTAAATCGGCTATGAAATACTAAAATCCAAATGATAGCTTTAGACATAATTCTCGAAGAAAATAAATCTGCACCAATGCGGTACTGTTTCAAAAGGACCACTAAAGAGTGGTAAATCAAAAAACAATTTTACTTCATCATAAAACGAAGTTGACAAATTTATTAAGTTTTTTCTGAGTTAAAAGCAATGAATACAAACAAATTAATGAGAAATTTATGCAAATAACTTGCACAAATAATTGAGCAGACTCGAAAACTTCAGTCAAAATTTTAGACAAAACTTTCCAAATTTGCAAGTTGTCTCTATAATATTCCCTCGCTTAATGGTTATTATTACTACCAATAATTTGCTACATTATTTACTAGTATTCACTTAACAGAATCATGGAAGAAGGTATTATAATAGTATTTATGAATTCTAAGTCTTGAAATATTAATCACTTTACTCACTTTTCCTGACCTTCAACAGTTAAATAGAAATTAAGATTGCTTCATTAGCTAATTTTCTAATATCGAAACTATACCTATAAACAACATATTAATTACGATCCATTATATAGATATATGTATATATTTGTCACTCTTTTACAAATCAGACAAAATTTGGCAAAAAATTACCTCATCATCTCCGATTTGGCTGAAATTTTTTTATGAGCTACTACTATAATAAATAAGAGAAAATAATTTTTCCTCGGGAAAAAATTTCGAAATTTTGTAGACACATTTTTAAACAACCATATTTCCATATTTCAAACTCTATAAATAATAGAAATTTGAAATGTATTAAGTTTCAAAGATAATTGATTGAACCTTTTTTTAAATAGTTTGCAAGTATTTTAAAAAATTAATTTATCCTTCACAACGCATACACACTATTTTTCAGTCAAAAAAAGGAACATATAAGAAAAGTTTTTGTTTTTTATTTTTAATTTAAATTTTTAGAAGTATTTAAAAAAAATTAATTTACCAGGCGCCTTTTACTCTTACGCTCTATTTACGCAGTCAAATAAATTTTCCACAAAAAATGACACAATAATTTTTATTTTTTATTTCTGTATTGAATGAATCATTAAATTTTACAAAAAAATAAACATTTTAAATTAGTTCCACGCTATCCCTATTTCTATATCACAAATTTTAACGTAATTTGGTCGTCTAATTTTTTAAAAAAAACCGGGGGTACTAATTTTGTATCATTTATAAAGCCTGATATATGACCGTTTAAAAATGTATCTGCAATGCTAATTGTCAAAACCTATGGTCCATATCTTCTAAAAAATTTTTTCCCGAGATACGGACTTTTTATTTTATGAAAAGAGCTCATAAAAAAATTTCAATCAAATTGGAGGTGATGAGGTCACAAAGGTCTCTGACTTGTAAAAAACTGACTCATATACAATACTATGAATTTCTTATACCTATATAGTTAATCTAAAAAAATGATATATTGCTTAAAGTAATCATCAGATGCTAAAATGAGATAATTTTTAATGAAGTGTGTGACATATTTTATATATAACACCATAATCACAAGCACACAAAAATACATATTTTACTATATATAACTAACCTTATAGTAAAAAACCACGTGCATTTAAAGTTGCACAAAATGCCATATGGTTTCTTCATTTGTTCTTTTTTGTTAAATGTAGTACTTTGTAAATTGTATCCATCGTATCTTCTCCAGCAATGGTTTATATTTCCTATATCATTTCAATACAGTAAAATTTGTGAAAATCGTAACTGGAAAAAACACTGAAGTATTTACTAACTGCGTATATGGCCGTGATTGTAACGTTCACGTCCTTCCAATCCGTGTCCATTTGTTGCCGCTACACCAACACCCAAAATACTATCAAAACCTCCACCACCATTTTCTTTTTCAGTTCTCCCACTAAACAACAGAAAATACCAGATAATAAATGGAGTTACCAGAAAAATCAAAGTTAACAATTTTGCCATTTCCTTGTAGCACAAGTTGAGATCGATTTCTTCATTCAATGTAGTCTCAGTAGTTTATAGTTTGTCTCGTTTATCTAATTCTTTTCAATAAATTTTAACTATAAAACGGTGTACATTAACTTTATTATATTTGACTATCGCATTTAAGCACTGCGATTGCCGCCCCTGTACTGAGCACATATTTTCAAAACTGCTGTTTGCTTCCAACTGAAAACGGGCCTCCACTCAACTTTTCACTTTTTACAAATATTACGCATTTCATGCACTTCTTGTATCTTCCGCTCTGCTTGGGCTCAGCATCAAAAAGCGGATTTGCAAATTAATATATCCATTTTGTAGGTAAATGTCAGTTAGTTTGCTAATTGAAATAATCAAACGACCAGAATGATTGCGAAATATTTAATAAAAACAAAAAAGTTCTAAGTAAATGAGATATATCAGCGGCGTCACAAAAATCTTGCACAAAATATGGTTCACAAATAATTCAACGAATTCCTTATTAATATCATTGCAATGGATTTTCCTTTTCGCATATGCAAATTTTTTTATATATATAGATTTTTTAATTTCATCACGTAAAATAAATTCCTTTTCCCAATACGTCCCTGTACAGTGTATACTATGTCACTCTTACTTTCTCATAAAAATCGAAATTTAAAATAACCCCATTTTGAATCCAAATGACGAAAAAGCAAACTATCCGATCAAATTTTATTCACACAAATTATGGTTTATATAAATAGAAAATTTCAAAACACCACACATATATGTCATATGTTCCATACAAAATAGAATCGATTCGAATTTAAACCTCAACAATTGTTTCAACTACTGACACCGTTACATACCCGGTTCTATTTTTCCTCTTTGTGGAGATCACAGCTTAAATGAAATGACATTGATCACTGAAGGCCACCTTTAGCTTAAATCTCTCACTGATCTGACTGAGCTCAAACTCAGTCAGATTTTTATTTTATAGAAATTTAGGTCGCCGCGAATCGTAGCAATATGAACTGAAAAGCCTTATTGTGTGAGAACTCATGACAAATTACATTAATAAAATTAAATTAAATCGAATATTGCACTGGCCAATAATTGACAGTATGCCATCACTTTGAGTCCCATCATCAGCACAATCAAATTAAAATGAAGTTTGTAGTAAGAACGGAATCGTTTTATACATATAATTTTATCACTTCACATAGTTACATAGTTTACATAGTTAGTAAATTAAAAATCGTGTATTTATATAGAACTTTGCAAATATATGAGAAATAAATGATTTCTATTGTGAACAACTATTAAGGTCTCAACTCAATTCCTTAAGTTCTGTTTTAAAACTTTTTCACCCCGAACTGAACATTTTAAGATATATCGATTAGGAGTACATATTGAAGTGCAATAACATAACTACATATATGTTAGTATGTATATTGCGAAAAAAAAATGTATGACAATGCAATAGTATGCCAAAGTTAGTGGCGACTTTCAAAAAAGAAGAAAAGAGAGGAAAAATTTTGCGTTAATATTTTTAGGTCGTACTGGGCTTACATGTAAACAGCTATGTGGGTTTGAAAAATTATATGCGGATAAAATCAAAAGAGTCGATTACATAGTTGCTAAAATTTCTAGTCAGATCGCCAGTGAAGATTACCGAAATTTATCACACATTTTCAGATGGCTAACTAGTTCCAATAAAGTTCTAAGATAATTAACAAATATGGAAAGTTTAAATCAAATTGGAGTCTTTATTTTTAAATTTTAATTTGTAATTTGTAGTTAAGACTACCAAGAATTTAGGTGACGACCCAAAAAACTGAATATATATTTATCGGAAAATGACTTAATGTCATAGGTCTTGTAACACAACGAAACGCTTCTTTAGCGCAAGACAAAAAAGTTGTAGGCATAAAACCAATCAAAAATTGTGCTGTTGAAGGTGGGTTTTGAGAGTAGGTAATTCATACTAATAATTGATTCATCTGATGAACTAACTATAACTATAACTATACGTGAATTAAAGCCATATGTAATTAATGGCTCGAAAGCCATCAAAGACTTCTAAAGAGGTGGTTCATCAGTGAAAATGTCTGTTAGTATCACTCATTTTTATTGAATTACAATCTTTCAAGCGTAGCTCTTATTTTTCCTTTAACGATTGCGTTTTATAATTTTTTTTTTTATATTTAATATTGTTTTTTATAATCTCTGAAGAAATAATTGACTCTAAGACTAGTGTCAGACGTGAAAAATGTCTGTGTTAGTCGTTGTGTGACCCAGCTGCACTATCACTAGTTTGATAATACCTATCAGTAAATTATTAACGCATTTTGATTGTTTGAGTTTTAAAATTAATGAGACAAACTAAAACATTTTTATTATATTTATTTTAGTAGTTGTAGAAATTCGTGGAAAATGTTTATTTAAATCACCCCTAATATACATAGGTGATGCCGTACAAAAGTTATAATGCAAGATCGTCATGCGGTATACTGTGAGATTGAGAGAACCCTTGGTATTAGTTCCACCAGCATTTATAAAATATTGCACGATCAGTGAGAAAGGTTTCTTCTCGTTGGATCCCTTATCCTCCATCATTTGACAAAATCTCAAAAAGATGTTTGTACCGGTTGGTGCACACAAATGCTTAAGAAGTGCAATGCCGGTACTTCAAAAGACATATATACGAGTAAGACTGTAACATGTGAAGAACTAGGGATACATGCGTATGAACCGAAATGTAAACAGCAGTCGATTGTATAGGTGTTTCAAGATGAACCAAATTCAACATAAGTTATTTGCGCTCGAAGCACTTCGAAACAAATGGTCGCTTGTTTTTTTCGGAAAAACTGGTCAATTCCGAATGGTATACAACCATTTGATTGTGTTCAGTGAAATAAGGAAAACAAACAATCGTCGTCGGATCATTCTCTATCCTGATCAAGACAATGCTAGTTATCACACATTTTGTCTAACAACTGACTACGGTCGTATTTGAACATTCAAAAAATTGAATTGATGGGTCATTCACATACAGTCTTGTTTTGGCACCCAATGATATCTTCTTGTTCTCGAACGCCAAGAATATATTGCGTGGATAACGATTTTTGTCGGCCGAAGCAACAACGAAGGATGTCTAAAGAAGACTGATAAATTTGCTTCGACAAAACCACCTAAAAGAGGTGGCTGCAACAGGATATTATGATTTTCTTACTAAGAGTCTATATGCATCATCTATTGATATGAGTATTATGGCCAATGATCTTGCTAAAATAATCATCAACCAGTTACCCTGCAAAAAGGCACCGGAGTGACAGGATATTATGATTTTCTCACTAAGAGTCTATATGCATTATCTATTGATATGAGTATTATGGCCAATGATCTTGCTAAAATAATCATCGACCAGTTACCCTGCAAAAAGGCACCGGAATGACGATAAATTTTATTATAAGACTTTTTAATGCCATTATTACATTTAGTTTTTACCCACCAGAGTGAAAAACATCCATGATTATAATGGTTCATAAATCAGGAAAAGATCCCACGTTTGCCCTTTCATACAGGCCAATAAGCTTACTACTTTGCCTTTCTAAACTCTTTGAATCAGCACTGCTTTTAAAGCTGAAATCATTCCTTAAAGATCAAAACCAAATACACTTTCACCGGTTTGGGTTTAGAGAAAAACATGGAAGTACTGAGCAAATTAATCGTATAACGAACGAAATAAGACATGCACTGGAAGCTCAGAGAACTTTGTTCCATGGTGTTTCTTGATATTAAACATGCATTTGATAAAGTATGGCATAATAGGCTCATATACAAGATACGCTGTCTCTTACTTGTTAACGTCCACTTAGTTTTAGAATTGCATTTGCAGCACAGAAGTTTTGAAGTTAAATGTGAATCATACACTTCTAATAATTTCTCAATAGAAGCTGGCGTTCCACAAGGTAGTATACTTGGCCCTATCTTGTACGTACTTTACACATCTGATATCCTAATAAGTAATTCAGTTGCCACTTTAACGTTTGCCCATGACACGGCAATAATATGCCGAAATAAAAATATTGTGTTAGCTTTAAACCAACTTCAATCTCACTTATTTTAGTGGAGAAATGGTTGTCAAAATGGCGAGTTAAATTTAATGAACTAAAATGTAGACACGTAATTTTTACCTTAAATCGGAGTACATCTCCAGCAATTTTACTAAATTACATTCCCATACCACAAGCAGATAATATAAAATATAACGTACTTAGGTTTCACCTAGATAGACGACTAACTTGGCGCAAATATATTGAAGCCAAAAAAATTCAGATGAAGCTCCAAAGGTCTAAGTTGCTTTGGCTCATTAATAACAAATCTTCCCTGTGTCTAGAGTATGAAATACTCTTGTATAACAGCATCATAAAACCAATATGGACTTATGGTATCCAGCTATTTGACAATGCTAGTGCTACAAATATTCATTGATTTAATCCATTAATTCATTGATTGATATAAATGAAGTCCGTGATATAAGGTTTATTTATTTTGTTTTATATTACACAATGTATAGTTAAAATGAAAAAATGTAATATTATGTAATTAGTGATAAGATTTTACGACTAGACTTTTTGTTAGTCTCATTGTAAGAGAAGATACAATAAATACCTTCTGCTCAAAAAGGATTTTGTAGTTAACTCCTTAAGTAATAGACCTTTTTCAAAAATTTTTTTGTTATGTTGGCACACCCTTTCTTGAAATATGGTACAAATTTGAGCGCCATGTGTCAATTAGTTTGTTTACAGCAGCTGTTAATGTGAGACTACCTCAAGTGCATTTAGCGATTTTTACTATGAAAAATTCAGTTGAAATTTTGTGTTTTGAACGAAATTTCATGTGTTGAAGCATTGAAAATGGTGCAGAAAGCTTACAAGGAATGTTTATGTCTCGAACACAGGCATTCGAGTGGAACAAATCATTCAAAGAGGGTCGTGAAGTGATCGAGGATTTGCCTCGTTCTGGACGTCCATCAACATCAAATACCGAAGAACACGTGGCAAAAAATCAAGAAAATTGTGCTGGAAGATCGTCGTATGACTAAAAGGGAGATTTCTCGTGACTTAAACATCTCAAATGGATCGGTTCACCACATTCTACATGATATATTGGGCATGAGACGCGTTGCAGCTCGACTTGTATCGAAACACCTTGATTGTTTGCAAAATAAATACCGAAAGAACGTGTGTGAAGAAATGATTTTTGAGCATGGAAACGACTCTACATTCATGAAACGCATCATAACACGTGATGAGACATGGGTTTAGGAGTATGACGTCGAAACCAGTCAACAATCGAGCGAATGGCGCTTCGAAAACGAGCCAAATCCCAAAAAACCGCACAAAAGTCGCTCGAAAATTAAAGTTATGCTCACTGTTTTTTTCGACTACCGCGGTGTTGTTGTTGTTCATTACGAATATTACCTCGGCGTTATGCGGCATTTGCGTGAGTCCATCCGTAAGAAAAGACCATATTTGTGGAAAGCCAACAATTGGATTCTTCATCACGACAATGCTCCATCGCACACGGCTCCTGTTGTACGCAATTTTTTTTAAAAAACACGGCACCACTGTCATCGCTCAGGCATCATATTTGCCAGATCTGGCGCCGTGCGACTTTTTCTTGTTCCTGAAACTCATATTGCTCCTTCGCAGTAAGCCTTTTGAGTCGATTGAATCGATAAAAGAGAATTCGTCGAAGGAACTAAAAGCCATACCTGCATGGGCCTACGAAAAGTGTAAGATTGGGAAGATTGGGTAAAGCGTGCTGAAGCGTATCGCTTCCGAAGGAGCATATTTTGAAGGAGATAAAATAAATTTGGAACAAAATTTAAATTTGTGTTTTATGTACAAAATCCGGGTACTTTTTGAGCAGTAGGTAAATGTATAGGCATTTAAAAAAAGTGTATTAATTGTAAAGGCGAATACTGCGAAAAAGAATAAAGCAATTTTTAACGACAAAGTAGTATTTTTTCATTATTAGGCTTAAAATTAAAATAGTGACCCTCGTATATTGAACTTACTTGCGTTGTATATTTTGAGTTTAATAAAATATAGATGAACAAATATAGTTTGTGTTTTGTAATGAAACTCATAACAAGCAAGTAAACAAGTAAGCAATTTATCAATTACTTCAATTTAATGAATTTAAAAAAGCATAACGCAAGATTTCAGATAGATTTTGATGTGGATCGTAAGTCAGTGTGTGGTGGCGCGACTTGCGCTTCTCGAAGCGTAAATAAAACCGATGAATGTGAGCTACCGTGCTGGAGAGCATTTATATTTTAGTCGATATGAAAATTACTTTTTACACGATAAAGTCGAGATTAACGCAAATGAAACTATTTCTAAATTACAAAATATTCGCTATTTTAGCGTTATTATTTTTCCTATGTGCTTATAGTGAAGGGGGTAGGTGGAAATGAAATCTTTTACGCTGGTTACTATATTTACAAAAAAAACAAAATATTCGTCATAATACTAATAGTATATTTATTTCAAATTTTAATTAAACGATCCGATTTTATTTAACTAATGCATTCGGATTGATATGTGTAAAATGTGCGAATTTTATTTCATGTGCTTTCAAATATCGCTGCCTGAATTAATAACATCACTAACTTGGATTCTCCTGACACGGCTATATACTGCGATCTTATAATTATATCTTAAAGGATGGGGTGCACAATGCTGGAAGAAACACAATTCTGGTTCAATACAAACTCCTGATGGTGAATTTAAACGTCCCTTTGGAATTCTCTGTACATATCAGTGCTTCCTTTGGTTTACTCCTATGTAAGTTTTACAAAAAAAAATATGCACTTTAATTCATGCTATCGATATAAAAACAATATACCCTTAACATATAGTATATAAAATACATGCAATAAGTTTATTATGATATTTGTAACAGAGTAAGAGATATATCCATATATAAATGACCCATTTCGTACTTTTTATCTTTTTGAAACTGTGGTAGTAACCCCGAATAGTAATAAATTATAATTATGGTTGCTAATTATACATTTATGTTTACTTATGTTCCAGAATTATATTTAAAAGCGTAATTTAAACACAAAAGCAACGAAACTGTGATATTTTTTTTTAGAGAAAGTGGATAGAATGAGTTTTATTTTTGTGAAATCTAGCTTGAATTTTATGGAAGATAATACTTCTATATATGTTATTTGTTTATATGTTATAGCTGCTATTTAAATTTCATAATCGAAACTAATATTCCTAAATTCTATTCTTAAGTGATAAGAAATAAGATCTAAGAGTTTTTTTGATCACATATAACTTAGACTACTACTATAAATTATAACGATCTGTTAAAATTTAATGTAGCTATTATATATGCAGTATAAGCTAAGTGTGAAGGCATAAGTTATTGTCTGGGAAATTCTGATATAGATGAATAATTTTTCCTGATTTTTAATATTTTTAAGTATACATAAAAGAAAAATGAATCGATTCAGATTAAATATTTGCTGCTGAACATTCATATTGTTCTTGATTAAAAAAAAAAGACATTTTCATTTGTCGAGACTATTTTTGTGAACTAAGTGAAGCAATTAATTATTCTACTTTGAACCCAGACTATTTAATAAAACTGACTAAAACAATTTAATATATATTCCTAAAACTTAATTGTTGTATAAAATAAGGGTATATTAGACGTTAACAAAGGCATTGTTTAGAGAGCATTGAGTGCATATTTTAAATTTCTTAAAATATTAAAAATTAAATTTATTGAAGTTTCGTCATAGCATTTCCTGAGTTAAAAATTTCAAGTTTTTACCGAACATTAAAGAAGTGACCGAATATCTCTCACGTAGACTAGAATTCATTAAAAATTCTAGTAAAAAAATGGATTAATATACCGGGATATACACAAAATTAGGTTATGTTAAAATGCTTATTAGATAGAACAATGGATCTCCTATTCTCAAATATAACATATTATATTCATACGAAGACAAATCTGTAAGGTATTGTATATTCATAAAATTAGTATATCGTAGCATCACAGTTGCGTTAATTTGTTGCTGAAACAACAAATGTTTATAAGGATATATTAAAGGATATTTGTTTTGTTTTGGATCTGAACAGGTAGAACAGAACTAAATTACATGTATAAAATATATATATAATAATATATATAATAAATAATACAGATATAATTTTTGTAATAAAAAATTTACTTCAATTGCTATGAGGTATCGTCATATAATTTTAGTTGTTCCGATAAATAGACGATAACCCGAAAGTCACAATGCCAAAATTACTTTATTCATTCTCTTCAAAACGTAGTCAAATCTTTAGAATGGAAACGTATCACAAATACTTGCTACTATGTTAGTAACAGTATTAGCATAAAGAAATACATACATTCATGAGAAGTGTTAATCCGGTTTGACAGTCTAAGCGAGTTTGTCAGTGGTAATAAACTTATCTTATTTTATTTTTGAAACACAAAGTTGTATTTAAACCAGAAGAAAATCTACTTGACTCATTGCACTCCCATATGAAAGGTTCTGCAAATCTGCTCTAAATAAATTTAGGTTTTATTTACTTTCATAGGTACTTTTACTAATTTCGTCAGAGTATAAAAAATGAAGCTTCACATTTTTTTATTTAATTAAGTTTTCACTTCCATACTTTGCATTTAAAAACTTTTGTACTTCTATTTTTTTGCATTGTCTAGTTAAAAGTATAATTAAAATATTTTTCATTTCAGATTTCCTCATTGTGAGTTTATATTCGAGTTACGTCTCTCCAAACATTTCACATCGTTTCCGGATTGTTATGCCATTCGCTGCAACGAAACATTTACATTTTTATAGTGATAAATAAATATAATATATAAATTAAAATTTTTGGACGTATATGTAAAATATTTTAATTAAAACTTTAGTAAAAAACTATTTTTGAAATTTTATTGCACATGTAAACAGTCCGCCTGAAGCCTAAAAGAAAGTTACTGCTTGACTACCTGTAGATGTTGACACATTCTAACCTTCGGGGCAGGTTGAAAGGAGTGTAGATCTTAATGGCGTTAGTTTTTACTTACCATAAATGACAACCTGTTAGAAGCTAAATGTTATTTAGATTTTAGTATTAAACCAATAATTCATGTAGTAACTTCATGCAAAGTTTTTGAACCATGAGTATATCGCACAATAGATTTTGATTCCAAATAAAGTGTATCTTTCCTCAATTCCAATCATCAGATATAACAGTTTTAAATTCAGTTTTACATCAAAATTCCATGTACATGTTGACTATAAATTTATAGGTAGAACCGTGACTGAGTGCAGTATTTCTTAGATAAAATATGGGAACGCTCTACATGCAAGTATAACATGATCATACACGTATGTCCTTGTATTTTACAATTACAGTACTTTGTTGTAATTTACTGCACTAAATAAGAGAGATATAGTTTGCAATGTCAGCAAATCGTCCTGTAGGATCTCCTTATGTGTGGATTTATTAACAATTTATTATTAACTTCGTCAATTCAGCCACGAAGGCTTTCAGCTACCAGTAATTTAGAGAATGCTGAGAGGGTTTTAACGGCAACCTCTTGCAGCGGTAATCTTCAAAGTTTTACTGCCTAGCTTGAAGGACATGTACCTGTGTTGTAACCTCATGACATTTTGGCACGTGTAATAAATTATATATGATATAATAAATTATAAAACTAAAACACCAACTAAAATAAAATAAACAAAACACATGTGTTGAAACATGTGCGAATATTTGTTTTACAGAAAGAAATATATAAATCAGTTGTAGTAGACGTAATATTTGTATAATACGTACTCTTGTTGTTGATATGATCTCGACAAATAAATACACCGATTAGAAATATTTTATAGAAATCTGATTCGCGTTCTTCAGCAAATATCAAAGTAAACTAACATATAGAATGATTTGAATGTTGACTTCTTGTTTTCGAAGTGCACATAAAATTATTAATAACATGTTCTCCGTCAAAATATTTTTGATGAAATTTTTCCTGAACACACTCTATAATAATAATGAATAGTATTTTTAAACAGGGATTTTCATCTGAACACTGAACCGAATTTCGACCTGAAATCGTACTTTTAACAATTAAAGTGTTTGATCTGCAAACTGCAGCTGAATTTTGTGTTTTGTGCTGTCGGAAGATCCTGTCACAGTTATTAAAGTCTGATCATCAGAACGCTGTCAATATTAAAAGCATGCATACGAGAGTCTAACGTATAGAAAATAGACCGATTAGGTCGAAATAGGTTCTCAGAAATAAATTTACAGAAGAAGGTAATCCAATTCGTCATTAATTAAAACTAGTTATTTATGATTTTAATAAGCAGTATTGAAGAGATTATGATGAAATTATACGCAAGTCATGTACTACAGTTTGTAAATTTGAAGTTTTATAGAGTGGTTAATAAAATAACCATATATAAAAGGTACATCCAATTTATTTCATTCCTTTTCAGCACACAGAAGTAAAGCCGTGCTTATGTCACGGTCAGCAATTTATCGAAATAAATAGTTTTTTTATATTAAAAAAATTATTTATGAGCATGTTCATATACAATTGTGGACAGAACCAAAGATTTCATTAGAGCTATGCACTCTCTGTCGTCACTGCTTTTATAGAATAAGCAATGCAGCAATCAATACAGGAAATCTGTGTTGATTACAGGTCACCGTTAACCATAATTCCATCTGTCGCATCGTGTAGTGCTTCTTTGAAAATAATCTCCAAGTACATATTGAACAGTAATGATGACAGAATGCACCGTTGGCGAACCCCGCGCTTTATTTCTACTTCTTGCGTGAAGTAACTCTCAATGCAAACATTTGCATACTGCTCCGAGTATAAGTTTGCTATTATTTGGATATCATTTTCATCTAATCGGCAGTGCTTCAGAATCTCTATGAGTTTGTGAGTCATGTTCAACAGTGTCGAAAGCTTTTTCGAAATCAACAAAACATAAAAAGACATCTCTGTTATAGTCACGACAACGTTCTATTAGAATTCGTATTCCATACAAGGCTTCTCTAGTACCAAACCCTTTGCGAAAACCAAACTGAGTATCACTCATTTGTTCCTCGGGTTTTGGATAAATTCTATTACGTATAATTCGAAGGAATATCTTTAACACATGACTCATTAAGCTGACTGTTCTAAAATCTGTACATGTTTTTGGTGTACCTTTCTTTGGAATCGTAATAAACATAGATTGGAGCCAATCGTTTGGTATCTGACCTGTACTATAAATTTTATTAAAAAATCATGTTAAATTTCGTACGTCATTATCTTTGAATAACTTTACCAATTCTGTTGGTATTTGGTCAGAACCCACCGTTTTTCCTATTTTTGCACCATCAATTGCTTTTTGAAATTCATCCAAGGTTATATGTGGCTCAGCTTTTAGATCGGGTGTCACAGATGATCGGTTGCTCGCAAATAGAGTTTAGATATAACTTTCCCACATGCGAAATGTTTCGTCTTTTTCTGTTATGTATTTACCTTCGTTATCCATAAGTGTGCTTCTCTTTCTTCTATTAGATGTCGTCATATTTCGAATTTTCTTGTGTTTGTCAAATACATCGTATCTCCTTTGATACCCCTCTATCTCCTCACTATCATTTTTGCGAAACTCTCTTTTGCTGTTCTAAAAAGATCACGTATAGATCTGTGTATATCCTTATATTTGTGAGTATTTTTATTTTGATACTGATTTCTTTCGTCCTTTAATGCCAGGATTTCATCTGTCATCCAAATTTCTTTCCTTCTAGATCTGAACACTCCCAATTCATTGTTTGCTACTTCCATTATTGTGCTTTTAATTGTCATAGATATTTCTAAAATGGACATATCATTGGGTTGTAAACTTAATAACCTCGTTTCAATTTCATTTTCAACTTGCATCCTCAAATCTTGGCTTTTCAATTTCTGTGCATTGAGTTTACTCCTCGGTTGAGCTGAGCTTGTCGCTTTGAACTTAATGTTGATTTTAACAGTTGGCAAGTTGTGATCAGATGAAACATTCGCACCGGGGAAGGTTTTTGCGAATTTTATTGAGTTCTTATGCCTTCCAGTTATTGTTTTAAAGTTAATTTGGTTACGAATGATCCTGTGTGCTGTATCGGGGACTTCCAGGTATAAAGTCTTCGTTTTGGCAGTTTAAAGAATGTATTGGATATAATCAACTTAATACTTCTGCATAATTCAGCCAAAGGATCACCTCTTTCATTTCTTCCGCCTAGGTCAAATTTTCCAACAATAGCATCGTCCGTACCTTGGCCTATCTTGGTATTAAAGTCACCCATAACCATTATAACATCTCTTGACTTTGTATTTCTTATCAATGATTGAATTCCTTTGTAACATATTTCAATTTCATCATCAGAAGCATCACATGTGGGTGCGTAAACTTGAATTATATTTAAATTTACTGGCCACCCCTTCATTTGCACCATTATTATACGAACGAAATACATGACATTTGTTACCATATTTTTGAGTTCTTTTGCTATAATTATCGCCACTGTAGTACACATCATAATTGTCTATAGTACAGCATCCGTGGCCATCTTATTTCACTTACTCCCAAAATACCAATTTTATGTTTCTGCATTTCCCGTATTGAATTATTAATTTTATCGCTTTCGAACATATTTCTGACATTCCCATTCCAAGTGCCAATTTTATAGGATTTATTATTACTGAATCTCATCTTAGCTGAACGGGAGATTCTTAGCACCCCTGGCCCATTTAAGGGGCGCCCGTACTCGGGGTCGTTGTTTTGATTCTCAGCTATTTTAGATAGATTGATTCATGTAAAACTTAGAAAAAGTAATAGTGATGGTCTTCCGTAGCCTTCCACGGCTGTGCAGATATCGTTTATATGGATATCACTGCGCTATCTGCTAATTCATGTATAACCATACCAGTTGCCTCAACCTCTGCCTATACATGATACTAAGAAACCAGCTGCAATTCTCCAGCACCATTTGTAACCTTTTATCGATACTACCTTCGGAAAGCTTACAATGGGGGTTTATTACGAAGTTTATTATCTCCAGTGTTAACCAGCTTTGTAGATATTGCAACCAACTATTGCAAGCAAAATATATAACAGAGAAAAGGCAAATGTGAACATAAATTATCATATACACAGCAGCTGACTGCGCTACTATATAAAATTGAACTGTTCAATGTAAGTTTACATTTTTTATATCAGAACATATCATATATATTGCCTGCAAAAGTTCCCACATCATAGAATATTCTTTCATTAGGTGGTGTTAAATTATTGATATAAGTTTCTTCGGTATTAAGCCAATATGATTATATATATGGTATATCTGAGCCCCTGTTAGTTGAACATAATTTTTAATTAGTGTTACGATAGTATCATTTTACTATTAGCTGGTATTACTTTATTAACAGTTTGAATACAGGCGGTATTACGACGGGACAATTTTTAATCCAGGCAAACAACGCGTAAGCCAGTAGGTACAGGAGTAGAATAAATTGCTGTACTCTAGATCTAAACGATTGCAGCACTTCGCAAGAGAAACCTATAAACTGTATCTCCATGGCTCAATTCAAAGAATTTGATAAATGTGGCTGGGTATGCCACATTAAGAAATAAGAAATCTATTCGTGAGCTGAAGCAATCCAAAATAGTGTACAAGTACCACCATAAGAAAGGGTTAACAGCAGTATATCGCATCATTTTTCATTATTTGAGTATAAACTTTTTGTAGGGTACTTATTAAATACTCTACCGAAAAGGGAACACTGTTTATCATGCACTGCTTTTTGGGTAGTCGTAAAATCCCATATTTTAATAGTGACCATAAT